GAGAGGGCGGGAAAAATAAATAAAAGGTGCTTTGGGGGGGGGGAAGAAATAATAATAATAAAAAAAAAAAAAAAAATCACACTAGGCATGCTACATACCTTTGACAATCTGGCCCCACATCCACAAGCCCTGGGCTCAAGTCCTTCCTGAGCTTAATAGTGTCGGTGCGCTCACGGAGTGGAAGAAGACAAGGACACGTGACATGGGTTTCAACAAGGCCACAGCTTTTTTAGTCAAATCACATCTAAGGCTGCCAATCAGGGGACAGCCCAGAGCTGTCACACCCCACTGGTGCTCCCAATCATCACACAGGGAGGGTGTCTGGGGGCCTCCACTCACCTGCCAGCATCCCTTCCCTTTCGGGGGTTGAGGCAAGAGAGGACCTCAACCCCCAGCCAGCAACACCATCAAGTCCCCCCAGGTAGTGCCCCAGCCCTGGTTTGCATTTCATAGAATCTCAGGGTTGGAAGGGACCTCAGGAGGTTCTAGTCCAACCCCTGCTCAAAGCAGGACCAATCCCCAACTAAATCATCCCAGCCAGGGCTTTGTCAAGCCTGACCTTAAAAACCTCTAAGGAAGGAGATTCCACCACCCGCATTCCAGCGCTTCACCATTCTCCTAGTGAAAAAGTTTTTCCTAATATCCAACCTAAATCTCCAACACTGCAACTTGAGGCCATTACTCCTTGTTCTGTCATCTGCTACCACTGAGAACAGTCTAGATCCATCCTCTTTGGAACCCCCTTTCAGGTAGTTGAAAGCAGCTATCAAATCCCCCCTCATTCTTCTCTTCTGCAGACTAAATAAACCCAATTCCCTCAGCCTCTCCTCATAAATCTTGTCCTCCAGCCCCCTAATCATTTTTGTTGTCCTCCGCTGGACTCTTTCCAATTTGTCCACATCCTTCTTGTAGTGTGGGGCCCAAAACTGGACACAGTACTCCAGATGAGGCCTCACCAATGTCGAACAGAGGGGAATGATCACGTCCCTCGATCTGCTGGCAATGCTCCTACTCCTAAAGGGTTAGACATGATGCCCCCATCTCGTAAGGAGATGCCCTTGGGATACCCACTATATTACCTCTTTTGGATCTGCAGCCTAAATCAGCAAGTCCCCACACTGGGCACCTGCCGACCTAATGTAGGTCCACACTGTGCCCCCCAGGAGGGGGAGAGATTCCCAGCCCTCCGGCTGCCCAAAACCCAACCCCTAGGTTTTGCTGCAAGGAAGGTGCAAAAGGCAAAACCCATTCTACTGTTATGGAGGAAAATTCCTTCCCACTCCGAAAGCGGTGACGAGCACAGCCCGCAGCAACCTAGATAGGGAGGGAGGGTGCTTTGACTGCTGGAAACCAGCAAACAGAAAGTGGCTCTGAGCACATGCTTCTTATCATGGCTCCAAATCTAGTGCGAAATCCCACGAGACCTCAAGCCTACCCCAAAAGCCCTGTGGGACCTGGAAAATTCGCAGGATCCGGCCCGTCCTGTCCTTTTGCCCTCTCCCATCGCAGGAGCCATCAAAACACAACGCTCCCTAGGCTCTCCTTTATTTGCCGCTTCATCTTAGCAAATGCAACCTTTGCATAAGGATAACTCCTTGGGCGCTCCTTGGGGAGAACTCCTGTTATCCATGAATTTGCAAATATCATTGCCAGTGGCGCCGAGATTTCTTCAGCTAACTCCTTCAGTACCCTGGGGTGAATAGCATCAGGCACCACTGATTTGAATTCATTCAAATTGGTCAGAAGAACCCCGACATATTCTTCGCTTATCCCAATCTGCACCCTTGTCTACAGTAACTTCGCTAGTCGTCCCATCATGTTATTTTTTGTGAGAAGACTTCAGCAAAGTAGGCACTGAGCAGCTCCACCTTCCTATCATCCTCTGTTACCAGCTCACCTTCTCCATTGAGCAGAGGACCCATGCTGTCCTTCATCTTTTCTTTAATCAGTGCTTGAAGGGTTAAAAACATACTATTCTTGGTCAGATTGGCAAAGACTCCGGCGAGGGTTCACCTTCTTCTGCAGGATGAGGCCCGGGTCACTTGCAGGTTTAAACTAGTGTAAATGGTGGATTCTCTGTAACTTGAAGTCTTTAAATCATGATTTGAGAACTTCAGTAACTCAGCCAGAATACAGGAGGTCAGACTAGATGATCATGATGGTGGTCCCTTCTGACCTTAAAGTCTGTGAGTCCATGACCACACTACACAGGATATGCTCTATTGCAGGGGTTCTCAAACTGAGGGTCGGGACCCCTCAGGGGGTCGTGAGGTTATTACATGGGGGGGGGGGTCCATGAGCTGTCAACCTCCACCCCAAGCCCCGCTTTGCCTCCAGCATTTATGATGGTGTTAAAGTGTTTTTAATGTATAAGGGGGGGGTCGCACTCAGAGACTTGTTATGTGAAAGGGGTCACCAGTAAAAAAGTTTGAGAGCCACTGCTCTATTGTATATATCACATAGCATATGAGAGGCAGATGTTTCTGAGCCCCTTTTGCATTTGGTGTTCTAAGAACTGCTCATGTAAAAAAAGTCAGTCAGTCATATCAGCAGGCTGCTTTTGTATTCCCTCTGGTATTTTGTTATACAGGGAAACAAGAAATGAATGTAAAAAGAATACATTCAGGGCCTTGAAACATAAATTCTTACTGGGCAAATGCCCAGGAAAGGGTAGGTCTGGTTCAGGATTTTGCCAAACCTCATCAGCACACTCATAAGTGTAAAAACTAAAGTTAGGGGCTGTTTCTACCCAGGTCCCATTTACAGAGGAGGATTCAGATAAACGCTTCTGATTTGGCCCACTTCCAACTTTGTTTTCGGGTGTTACACTATGGAGAAGTTACCACTGAGAAATCAGAGCAAGTCAAAACAATGCGTCAGGCAGAGAGATGGATTATTAGTCATCAGAACTGACACTACCTCTTTGCACACGTGCCCGAGGCCTGCACTCAGTCCACATCCCAAGTACATACATCACCATGCTGGAAGATGCAAAGGGCAATTTCAGAATCTGTGTTCTATTGCCAAATTCTCGCTTGTTTGGCTCGACTTCATCGGTCAGAACTGACGCTGCTGGGAAAACAGGGTATTTTGGCATTTCTGGCCAAAATCTGGAGCAATCCATTATAAGGTTCATGCACTTACCGTGGAACGAACCTGATGACCTAATGTATTGTGACAAAGCTCCTTCTCTATCCTGGTGGGTCCTGCGCTTATTGGTGGATTTTCTTGCCTCAGAGATTCACCATGTGGGTTGGGGAACAGCCCAGAGACCTTCCCCTCTGGTAGAACCCACAGTCCAGGTCAGTTGGGACGTTTGGGGGGAACCCGGTCCCGCCCTCTACTCCTGGTTCCAGCCCAGGGCCCTGTGGACTGCAGTTGTCTAGAGTGCCTCCTGGAACAGCTGCACGACAGCTACAATTCCCTGGGCTACTTCCCCATGGCCTTCTCCCAACACCTTCTTTAGTCTCACCACAGGACCTTCCTCCTGATGTTTGTTAACGCTTATACTCCTCAGTCCTCCAGCAGCACGTCCTCTCGCTCCCAGCTCCTTACACACACACAGACACACACGAGTGAGAGCCTTTTTATACCAGGTGTCCTGATTAGCCAGTCTGTCCTAATTGATTCTAGCAGCTTCTTCTTAATTGGCTCCAGGTGTCCTAATTAGCCTGCCTGCCTTAACTGGTTCCAGCAAATTCCTGCTTGTTCTGGAACTGCCCCTGTTACCTTACCCAGGGAAAAGGGATCTACTTAATCTGGGACTAATATATCTGCCTTCTATCACTCTTCTGTAGCCATCTGGCCTGACCCTGTCACAGTAACTTTCCCTATCTCTAACTATTATGATTTTGGAAAAGCAGACATGTATTTCTGATCCAGCCATAACTGAGGGCTCAGTGATTCAGGACTGCACTAAGCCATACCCAGTAGCAAGACTCAAACACTGTTTTGCATAAGTCTACTGTTCTACGGTATGTATTTCACTTCCAGGCTACTTCTTCCAAGACCACTCGGTGTCAAATGCAGAAGAGAAACTGTAACATGGAGAGCGTGGTGTTTTGCAATGACACCGAGAGCGAGAGCGCTGGCCTTTGTAACTGGTTAGCTCCTGTGGTTAGTGCATCTACAAAACTGTTAGCCGCACTGTGTTTGCCTGAGCCGCACATGAAACACCTGGCCCACTCTTCCCGGGGTTATCGGCGAGCGTGATGGGAAGGCAATGGGACCTGGCAAGAATGAAGTGAGTGGCAGATGCAAGTGGAAAGGAAAAATTAAAAAATACAGGACGAGAGCAACAAAAGAAGAAGTGGGGGGTGAACAATGGAAACCGACCATTCTTGTTCCTCTAACTCCTCCCTTTTGCCTTTTAGAGTTAAAACCAAAACCAAAAACACTGCATTCACTTCCCACTCAGAGAACCCCACAGAGCTGATCGAGCCCATGTACAGCTTCATGGAAGCGTTCGTGTTTAAAGTTACCCAGCGGACAGTAAAGGAGTTAAGAAAAAGGGACAAGTCATAAATCAGTAATTACACATTTGCACCAGCGCAACTGAACTCAGAGTCTGGCCCAGGGAACAGAGAGAGAGAGTACACACAGCGGGTTATTCTAGCGTTTTCTAGCTCAGGCTCTCAGATGTTTCCTCTGGCTTTAGCACCCACAGAGAACCAAAAAAAGCACACACCCACAGGCCCAGTGCCCTCCCACTTAGCAGTGGCATCCACTGGAAACGGGAAGGACAGCCCCAGACACACAAGGCCCTTTCTTCCAAACATTTGGCATGTAGGAATGAGTATGGGGATTGAATTATACTGGAAAAATCAGAAGAGCTTTTGCATCATCAAGTATAATAAACCTCATTAAAACACCTGGAGCTCGTAATAATAGGCTTAGGTCTTACAGAGCACTCATCACCTTCTAAGAGCTGTGCAAACAAGAAGAAATGAGGAATTCAGACACAGACACCCCAGGGGTGGGTAAAATGCCCGCCTCCTTACCTTTCATTCCCTGGCTGGAATTCAGACAGCAAGGAAGGCCTCCTCCGCTGCGGCTGCATAATAGATCCAGGTGGTAGGTGGGAAGTGTAATCCCTGGGATGATGCTGATACTCTAACAGACCCACATCCTGCAACAAACAACATAGAAAGAGAGCTGTTATGCGGATATCAGATATTCAGAAGACCACGATCACTTGCATTTACATCTCAGCAAAATTATGTGTGATATTCATTTAAGAACACCAGGTGCCAGATTGAATTCCCTGGGGAGCTCTGAGCTCTCTTTATCCACCATGTAAGGGGGAGCAGTGCAAGGGTCCCTGAGCTGCCTTACCAATGAACCTCAAACACATGTTGGGTTGAGATGACCAGATGTCCTGATTTTATAGGGACAGTCCTGATATTTGGGGCTTTTTCTTATATAGGTTCCTATTACCCCCCACCCCCATCCCGATTTTTCACACTTGCTGTCTGGTCACCCTAGTTGAGATGGTCTCCGTGGCCTATTCAGTAAGTCCTGAGCCCCTCTGCTTGGACTGCTCAAAAGGGCACCACAACTGCTAGGGTGGCTGCTTGTCATGTAGCCACACGTCCACTCCAGTCAACGGACTCAGACCACAAACTCATTGAGTCTTGGGCACAAGTGATCCGGGCTGGGTTTGATCCAATGACCTAGAGCTGAAAGGCCCTGTCATCTTTCACCATTTCCCCTGAGCTATTCCGTTCCCTCTCTCCTTCCCTCCACCCACAAGAAATATGGCTAGAAGCTGACGGTCACTGTGCTGAGGCAGGTCTTTGCTCTAGACCTACAGTCGTAGCCTCACTCACTCAGTCCACAATCGCGTCAATCACTTCACTGTGGCTTATGACGGAAGGGACTTGGACAGGTCTTTTCAAGTGCAGCCCATTTACCAGGCATTTTACATCTTTCTGTTGCTATTCAAGGGGACATCTGATCGTCTGTGAAAGGATGCAGGCCTACCTCTGCAGGGCCAGCAGCAGAAGTGTTAAACAGCCATCCCCCCACAGTACAGCAACACAGTCACGTGGTTAGGCCAAAATTCTCAAGTGGGGGGGTTTGGGAGGCAGCAAAGGGGCTTTATACAGTAAAACCTGGTGTGATGAAAAATGTTTGTAATGGAAGATTGCAGAACTCTATTGAAACTAAGGAAAAGTAGAGCGTTATTAACCTTCAGCACAACAGACCCACAGAGTTTAAGGAACCATTAGATCCTCTAGTCTAACATCCTGTGTCTCACAGGTCATTACGTTTCACCCAGTTGCCCCTGCTTTGAACCCAATAACTTGTGTTTGGCTAAAGCGTATCTTCCAAAAAGGCACATTATTACTTGTATTATCATGGCATCAAGGAGTCTCAGTCCCGGACCCGTTGTGCTAGGCGCTGTACTAACACTGAACAAAAAGACAGTCCCTTCCCTAAAGAGCTTCATGTCATGAGAAACTAAAGCTAACCAAGCTCATTTCATTGTCCAGCCTGAGGCCCTGTCTACAACTAGACAGTTGTACCGTTTTAATTACCCTGCTATAGTTAAAGCGGCACAACCCCTTGTAGTGTGGATGCAGGTATACCGGTGTGAAACAGCAACAGGCAGACAAAGGGCTCAATCCTGCAACACGCTGAGCACTGTGTCCCCAATCCAGCCAACCAGGGGCTTAACTTTAAGCATGCCAGTGGGTCCACTGAAGTCAAATCCACAGAGTAGAAAAGTTTAAAAGAAAATTAAATTTCTAAAATGCTTTCAACTTTGGTAACCTACGGTATTGGTAACAATAAAGAGAAAATATATCATCATCTTGCCCATGACCCTTTAAACGTGGCTCCCAAGAACGGAGCACAAAGGGGTGGAAAGGACAGTTTGTTACTTATTATGTACACATCCCTTTTGTTCCTTGGCCCTTGGAGAGTACAGTACTGTATGTCCCTGATTTAATTAACTAAGGAGCCCTTCTGCTCTGTGCCACAAAGGCTCTTATTCAAACAATGAAATATTTCAACTGCTATTTATCTGCAGATAGGTGCCTGACCACAGGGGGGAAAAAAGAGAGCAAAGATTAATCATCTAATTACCTAAAACACTGATCAATGCTTTGTAATGTCCCACCACTTTCATGACAACCATGGTAATAGTGGAATATAGTTATGCAAGAAGGAAGGGAAGTACTAGGACTTCAGAGCATATTTTAAGTAATTTTCATCTGAAAAAAATTGAGACGTTTCTACCCTGGTTTGATTCCCAAGCCTCTCACGGTGTGGTCTTGGTAAACCCTGCAGATAAGTGTTTCGGGGGGAGGAAGAATGATCCAGTGGTTACAGGGCTAGCCCAGGATTCAGGAGACACAGGTTCCCTTCCCAGCTCAACAGACTCGCTGTGACACCTTGGGCAGCTCACTTAGTCTCTCTGTGCCTCAGTGGCCCCAACTGTATAACGGCAATAACAAACATGGCTGTTCCGCACAGCGGGGTGCTGAGGCTAAATAAAAGAGCTGGCCAGAAAGCAGGTTCTCTCTCCCCACAGAACATTTCCATTTTTTGGCAAAAATTACAAAGGAAGGCAGTGCACCAGGAAAGTCCCCAGCCCCGGTAGAATGAAGTCCAGCCAAGGAGCCCAGCCCACAAAAGAGAACTGGGACAGGAGGAAACCAAACGATAACTCCCATGAAGCACTGCAGCAGCATATGCAAATCACACTATTTGGGGTTTCTGCCAAAATATTTCCAGGGTTTGTTTGTTGGGGATTTTTTCTTGAATGAAAAAAGTAAAATCGTCCATGGAAATCAGACAGAAAACCCCAATTTTCTGCCAAAAGCCAATTTCAAAAGAAAATGTTCAAACATCCCTTGTAAATACATTAAAGACCGTGATTCTTTCAGGCTATGTCTACACTCAAACCACTACAGCCGCAGAGAGACAGCTGTGCCACTGTAGTGCTTCAGTGTAAACACTCACTACAGCGACAGAACGGGCTCTCCCATCGCTGTGGTAAATCCACCTCTCCAAGTGGCAGCAGCTAGGTTGATGGAAGAATTCTTCTGTTGACCAAGCACTGTCTATGCCAGGGGGTTAGATCGGCTTAACTATGTCGCTCAGGGGTGTGGAGTTTTCACCCCCCATGCAACGTAGCTTGGTCAACCCAACTTTTTAGTGTAGACCTGGCCCCAGATATCGTGGTAATGGGGCCAGATAAATCCCACTGATTTTCAAAATGGGCCCCACAGATTTAAAAATCAAGAGGAGTTGGACAATGATCTCACGCTGAAGCCTTCCCCTCTCAATTATAAGAAAGAGCAAAGAAATCAGCAATGAAAGGCAATGCTTCAATTCCAACTGGGACTAGAGATTAGAAGAAAATGTCAGGAAATATCAAAGCCCAACATCTTGGGATGTCAAGAGGTAAAATAACATGTTTTTACAGTAACTCTATGGAAAATCAGAAAAAAAAAAGAACTCTAGGCATTCCCTCCAGAGGAGGCAAGAAAAACAGAATTATTTCCAAGTTCAGCATCTCCTTCACAAAAGCTTAAATGAGACCAATATCAAATGGGGGGGAAATGGTGGCGTCTACTAGCTACTATTTCTTGTTATGCCTGGAATAGTACATGGGGATATTAGCCCATGGCGCCAGGGTTCATGGTTTCCCGCCGCTAAGCGATAATGTGGTGTTACCCTTTGTTTTCTTTTTCTATTATAGATTATCTTGGTCAAGTCCAGTTCTTTTTAGGCAGCATGGATGAGCTTGCATAGAATTTATCCATTCCTTCTACCTGGATAAATTCTATGCAACTCCAACTACACCCCTACTATTCCAGACCTGGGCCTCTCCTGAGCTGAGGCATGACTTGACAGATGGTTTCATGTGAAGAAAACACCTACTGGAGACTGTCTAGGTCAAACTTTACTTTGGTATTCCAAATTCGGATATGACCCAGATCTCCAGAGATAAAATCCCCTGAGTTGCTTAGTCTGTAGCAATACTAGCCCGTTGAGCATGTGGCTCTGTTTGGAACCCAGGAATGTAGATTAGATCATATGTAGCTGGCCCAATTCTACATTATCTTGTATATAAAACCAAGGAAGTTTGAGATGGAATGATCCTGTTAGATCTTCCAGTCCATCTCCCAGACACTGCAGGACTGCTCACTAAGGCACATTCCCCCAATTTCTGGCTCATCCTATTTTTAAAGGTCCCATATGATGTTGCTTTCGGCACTTCACTAGGGAAGCTATGCAAAATATAAGCATACATAGCGAACGGATGGATAGGCGGTCCCATAAGCAGGACCGTCACCTTTTGAAAGAAACATATTAAAAGGAATAAATCATGCCCAGATTCCTAGATCGAGAGGTGGATTTGCCCAGTAAAAATGTCAATCTCAATTTTGCGTTATTAACAATTATATATGGTTTACGTCATACTCAACCAGGAAGACCCTGCCAAGCCAATTACATGATTGCTAGGAGAGTATTGCAAACCTCAAAGAGGCAGACATATTTCAGCCCTGGTGTCTAATGCAGTGTTCAATCTTTGCTATACTCCGGTTCCCTTTTCCATACCCGGATCCCCACCAATCTAGCCAGGACATCCCTCCATTTAGCACTGTGCGAAGGGCAGAGTAGTCAGGATTCCCTGACACCTGTACCTGACTTACCCCCTTGAGCACCCATGTTCTAAGGGGAAATTCTTGTTTGTCAGGCCCAATAGCGCCCCAGCTCTAACCCTGTGAGAAGGCTCTCCCGCTTCCAGACCGCCTTCTTCCGTCCCCTGCTCAAGCCAGCCTTCCTCCCAATCCTCACTAGCCTTACAAGTCTTGTTATACTGCCTGAAGTGAAGGGGAAGCTCACAAAGATGTGCTACTACCTATGAGTTAAGATCTTTGAGACCTGTCTTTCCAGCTTCACCATGAAACACAGCGTTGGCCAATACAATTTCCAAATGTTCACTGACAGCCTCTGACGTGTTTCACTTCATTAACATTAGTGCTTGGTTCTGCCAGCACAAAACATAACCTGAAAAATTACCATAAAGGATTAAAATCCATGAATCTCTATGTGCCCTTTGACGAACCATCAAAGGAGCCACAGGAGACCTGTCAGAATGTAGGTGGATTA